CCATGTTCTTTTTAAACACCAGCACGAATCACTACAAGCAGATAGGGTGCGCAAAACAATTCTTGGATTTCATCAGCTTCGTGGCTTCGCTCAGAAGGATTTGTCCAGCTACCAATTTGACTCAGAGGTAGAATTCCGGCTCAGTACAAAAGTGGAGCGAGTGTGTCGTTGCGATGAATCGTATACTTGGTGGCTGAAGGACATCCTGGCAGTTGACACTTTACATGAACACTCTTGGTCAGTTTTTTCATTTTTGTGGACCTCATCGAGTATTGCCTGGGGGCTACTCGAGTTTTCGTTGAATTGAATCCCAGATGGTCCGAGGCTCCTGTTGAGCACTTCTTGTATTTGCTTGTTGATCCCTGGGGATCCTGGGAAATGTGGTTGCCGGGAAGAATCTGGGCTGCTCGTAGTGTTTTGCCCCTTTGCCTTCCAGTTCACTCCAAAATCAAGGCCAAGGGGCTTTCAGCTTTAGGACCCATATGAAAAAAATGTCCTAGGGGTCGAACCCAGTCGAGTGTGGCGCGCTTGTCGAGACCTTTTTGCGAAATGGGATCCCATGAGGCATCCAGACCAACCCAAATGGTTGGGGTTCCTGCGGCTTCCCTTTGAATCACCTCCTCCCCCCCCAAAAAAAAATGAGTGGAGAAACAAAACCATGGCACCCTCCAAAAGACATGCCCATTTCGGCAAACACATGTCGACATAGATCTTGGCCAAGATCATGCAGGTCTGGTTTCTGGTAAAGAAGTCCCTCTGGGCCCACCACCCGCACTCCGAACGGCTTCCTCGGGAGTCGTCACACCGACGACTCCAGCCCTTCGGGGACTCGGGTGTGTGGGCCGTCAGGCGGCTGAGCTGGTCGCCAGCAGCCCTGCGGTGCAGCTGCGCTTGGAGACGGAAGGCCTGCGCCAGCAGTTGGGAACTCCACGCCGATTTTGCAGGGCTCCTTGAAAGATCTCCATGTTGCCCAGTTGAAACATGGCGTTTTCCGCGAAAATAAAGGGCAAACCACCATTTACAAGGCAATGCTCAGGTGTATAATGTAAGGATCCCTGTTTTGGCGATGGATGAAATTTCCAGGAGTACTGGCTGAAAAAAGCCTCCGCACCGGTGCGAAATGAGCTTCGTGTTATCCGTGAAGAGCAATAAACCCCAATTTCCCCCTGCTTCCTCGAAATAAGACAAGAACTTGGCCGTATTGAGGTCTGAGTTGGAGCAAACCACTGGAGGTCAGATGAGGGGTGGGATCCTATGAAGAACAGACCGGTTCATCACCGCTTCAGGTTGAGCAAAGCGAATTAGCAACCATGGACCACTTGAGAAGGGGGCCGTACCTTAATGAAGCCAGAACCGCATCAGCAAGCGCCGATAGTCCCGGTGTGAAGGGATGACACGGAATTTTGCACTCAAGAAGTTGCCCCGAGTGCACAACCGAGGCTTACTCGCCGAAGCCCAGTGCTATATTCGGGAAATTAACATTGACCTTGACTGGCTATGAGTTGGCAATGTGATATTTGTCCAGGTCCAACTTCATGGTGATTTTGAAAAATCTCGCCAGATTCAGCTATTCAGTTGTTGTGACTCTGATCAACGTGGAAGCCAAGAAATCCCTCATGTTGGGAATCTCCTTTCTGGGCTGCATTGAGCGGGAGCGCAAGGTTGAAGCTGAATGCACGTGTTCCGCTTCTCCAAAACGGCTCGATATGTTAGGGTAGCCCAAATCATGAAATATGATATGAGACAGAAACCGAAAATCAGAGTGGCTCTGTTCCCCAGATGTGGGACAATATTGTTGGGTAAGTGCAAGTGGGTAGTAGGGTTGGGCTGCGCTTTGTGTCCGACAGCACGCCCTGACTTGCCACTTGCCCTAACTTGCCACTTGCTTTGCAGTTGTTGGTTAAAGCCTGCTAAACTCAGTTCCGATGTATGCTTGCGTAGAGTGTCGCTTTGTTTTATTGAAACAGCTGCATGCTAGGAAACACAGGGCTGTTTTCTTGAGGTTCGGCATGGGTTGGCATTCCCCTGCTTTGGCATGAGGCATTTTGTGTTCCAAGAAGAAAAGGGCGCTGCCTCAAGCCCGTTTCGTCCCATTTAGCATGTGTGGGTTGCAAGTGCGAGTTTGTGGGAAGCTGGAAGAGGTGAGATTACTACAAAGGACAGCCTGAGAAGCATGGACGACAAGCCGAATGCGTAGCTTGTTGTGAAGATTTGGGCAATGATTCCAGGCAGCGTATGGACGATTCTTGTTTTAGGCCCACTTTCTGTGAGTGGCAAAAGGGTATCAGCACGGGGCCATCCATGTCCGCAGCCGGGCTGATTGATGGCGTTTTCGTTTCTTAAGGCCCGGCTTCACATGTTTTGATTTTACGAAGGCTTGAGCCCGGGGGCTTCTTCTTTTCGAGCTGGGGGGTTCTTTGAGCCGCAGGAGAAATCGAATGCCTCCAGGACGGAAAGGCGGAGCTGCTCGGCCTCTGGGCTGCGTTTTCAGAACAACATGTCCCACTTTGAGTCACTTGGAGAATCGAGAGATGTGGTGTGTCATGGCGAGGAGCTGAGGTATACTCAAGGCTTCCTGTTGGTCCCTTCCAAGCACCGAATTGCCGGCATGCTAGTTGACGAGGTTCCCGTACTAGTCCTTCATTTTGGGGCGTTGGTTTCCAGCTGCTTCTTCAAAATGAATGGGCTGGGCATGCTCAGGTGAGATCCGCAGCTGGCGTGAAGAAGAAGAGGACTGGGACATGCCAAAAGACCTGGTCCGGAGGGTGCGTCCCGATTTCAAGAACCCGTCCCCATAGTGCCCTTTGTGTGTGTGTGCAAGAGAGTTGATGTTGGGCGCATGTTGTTTGTTGGCACCCTTTTTGGGGTCGAACTTTAAGGCAAGCCAAAAAGACACCACTTAGAGGGTCATTCGAATCTGAGACACAGAATACTCAAGGGCTATTTGTAAGTGGCCCGGTCGGAGGAAAGGACCTACTCAAGATTGGGATCCCGAACCAACTGACAGGACGGCTTGAGGAGAGCGCGTTCGCCTGAGATTACAACAATGCCTTTAGTGCAGTGAATTGGCCGCCAGAATCTGTTCGAATATGATGGTGTTTGGGGATGCTGTCCCTTTCTCTAGGCTTTGCTGGGGCTGCTCGTCGCTTCAGCCTCCACACTGGCTTCACCTTTGTTTCCCTCCCATAGTGATGATTTCCCACTAAACCCAGGGACAACCTCGTATTAATAAGCTGGCAACATTGCCCAGCTTTAACGCAAATCTGACCGCAATCTCAGGGCTTTTTCGATGAGGAGCTGCGCAGCAACATCCAGCAGCTCCACTTCGCCTGCGAAGATTGGGCTGACAGCCGCCCGCCAGAACATGTGTGTGTGTGTGTGCATGTGCATGTGATCCTTGTCTTTTGTGTGTGGGTTTGCTTGTGTTTGTTTGCTTTTGTTTGATTGTGTGGATGTGTGTGTGTGTGTGGATGTATGTGTGTTTTGTTTGTGTTTATTTGTGTTTGTTTTTGTTCGTGGTTGCTTGTGTGTGTGTGTGTTGTGTTTATGTTTGTGCTTATGTTGTTGTGTTTCTTTGTGTGTGTTTGTGTGAGGGTGTGTTTGTGTTTGTGTGTTTGTTGTTGTTTGTGTTTGTGGTTTCTCATGGTTGCGTCTGTGTGTGTGTGTGTGTTTGTGATTGTTTTTTTGTTGTGTGTGATTGTGTGTGTTGTTGTTTGCTTCTATTTGTGGTCGTGTGTCTGTTTGTGTTTGTGTTGTGGTTTGTTTCTAATTGTTTGTGATTGTTTGTGTGTTGTGTGGTTGTTTCTGTTTGTGTGTGTATCTGCTTGTGTGTGTGTGTGTTTGCTTGTGTTTGTGCGTGTGTTTGCGTGTTTGTTTGTCTGTGTGGTTGCTTGTTCGTGTTTGTTTCTGGTTGTTTGTGATTGTGTTTGTTGGCATTTGTGTGTGTGCGTTTGTGTTCTTGTTTGTGTTTCCTTGTTGTTTTGTGTTTGTTGTTGCTTGTGTTTGTGTGTGTGTGCGGTTGTGTGCTTGTGTGTTTGTGTTTGTTTGTGGTTGTGTCTGTTGGTGTTTGTGTGTGTGTGTGTGTTTGTTGAATGTTTGCATTAATGTTTGTGAGTTTGTGTGTTTTGGTTTGTTTTTGTTTGTTTCTGTTTGTGTGGTGTTTGTGTGTGTGTGTGCTTGTTGTTGTTTGTTTCTGTGTGTTTCTGTTTGTGTTTGTGTGTGTGTCTGTTTTGTGGTTGTGTGTGTGTGTGTGCACTTGTGAGTCTGCGTACGTGCGTATTTGTGTGTACGTTTATGAGTGTGTTTGTGTGTTTGTGTGCTCGTGTGTTTGTGCAATTTGTATTTTGCTTTTTGGCGAATTTGTTTGTGTATGTGTGTATGAACCTGCAACACAACTTGTGTTTTGGAGAGCCGCTACAAAGTCAGTCAGGTTCTGGGGTGATACAATCGGGCACGGCTGGCCCATGATTTTCCACTTGAGGTAACTGACCTTCCAGCTAGATCAAAAACCGCAAAGGCTTCCTAAAATCGAGGACCAAATGTTCGATTGCTGACTTGCTTATGTTCCCTTCAACATACCATGTGTTGTTTGCCAGCCAACAAGTATCCAAAAGGGAGCAATCATCAAAATTGGCTTCGGCTTCACGTGTGTTTCCCGCTAGAGTAACCATCAAATATTGATATATTGGTGTGCTTCTGACACCATCCGGGGGGGGGGGGGGGCAGGCAGTTGTTCTCTTTTGGAAACCATCCTTTGTTCCCCAAGCAATGTGCCATAGAAAAGACACCTAGGACCCCCCTTCACTTTCAAGCACCACTAATTCAAACCAATTCCAAACAAGTTACAAACGCCAAAGAACCACCGCCTTGCTTTTGGCGGATTTGCAAGGCACACGCAAAAAGCCAACTTGTGTTTGCCAGAGTGCATCAAAATGGACGGCCCTCCCTTAAATGAGAATGATCAGGTCACTAAACATGGATTGAACTTGATCAAACAGAAAGAAACAGCTGGAAGCTCTCAGAAGCCTACGGACGGATGCTCAAGGATTTTTCGGGTCTCCAGAAATGAGAAACACAAACCCTGCTGTTGTTAATGATTTTCCTTGTGGTTTGCATTCACGTGCAGAGTGCACGCCCAGGAGTTTCTCAAAATGGTGGACCCCTTCCGTGTTAATTTGGTGCTAAAAGGAAAACCCAAAAGGAAGCCGTTGCCAATTTGTGCCAAATCCTTTGAGAATGCCCACCACTTCCAGCTTTATTTCCAATTGTCGCTTGTTTCAAAAAGATAGATCTATGGTGCTGTTTTTGTTTTTTGTCGCTCTTGAACGAGAATCATGTGTTTGGTGTTTTTTTTGCCTTGTGTGGTTTTGTGTGTTTTGGGTTTTTTGGTTTTTTAGTGGCTCTTGTTTGTATGTGCTCGTTTTGGTTCTTTTTCCAGCCGTCTTCACAGCTCGGGACCTTCGAGGTCGTGGCCTGCCACTGGCTTTGGTCCTGCAGCTGGGCCGTGCGAGATTTGGGCTGCAGGCGAGCAACGAGCTGCGAGCGGGTCCCTTCTACGCTTAACTTCGGGTAGATATGTCTATGTATACATATACATGTAAATAATATATATACATATTTGTTTACTTGGGTAGATTGTATATGTATACATCTGGGTCCCCCAACCACCTATATGTATGTATATATATATGTGCATATATGTGTATGGATATGCACAGAAAACGTAGCCTGAGCATATGATATATATATATATATGTATGGTAGGCTTCCCCCTGGACATGGACAGTTGTTGCGAGTTCATCTGTCATTCTTACCGACCGAACACCAAGTCTTGATAGCGTTGCGCAAGATCATTGCATGACAATCTGACAAAGAAGTCAACAGGACTCACGAACTGGATTGAGACTATCCTAGAGACAGCATGTTGAAGTCAAATGGCATGCGGCACAGTCTTTCTGTGGTCAAAGTAATCAACTTGGGATTCGACAATGGCGGAAGTGGAGGTTTTTTACAGAGCCCCGACGTGAAGGAGCTTCAACTGTGTCATATGCTGCACGTGTAAAGGTTGGGTCATGCCCGAACCCTCCTGGAAAGGCCTCACTCGTATTATAGTCACATGAGACACATCCATGGTTCACGTGTGCGTGGCCATATTAAAGCTTGCTGTGCTATGCCAAATGTGGTCGAAGCTGTCTCGAGGCAAGGGTTGAGATGTATCAGTGTCCCTCGCCGACTTGCTCGAAGTGAATTGTGCGCTTTTATAGAGCTCCTGAAGAAGTGTTCTGGTACCAAAAGAACAGGGGAGGGTGTTGAAAACCGTTGGAAGGCTTCCAGCCATCCCTCCCAGCGGTGCCTGAGTTTAATAAAACAATCCTTTTGAACTCTATCACTTAACATTTTTCTTCACATGGCCAGATTTCGGATGTCTTCTTTTGGGGACCCTGAAAGATGGCTTCGGCTGTCCTTGTGTTTTCTGTTTAACCACTCACCGAAATTTGGGGTCCCCCAAAAAAAATCACACCCGTCCCACTTCAAATGGTTCATCCGAATCGGATCGGCGCGATCGGATGTTGTCCAGACAGCATGGAGTTTAAACCACTGCTAGAAAAACTCACTCCCTGAGTTCATGGACTGAACACTTTTTGGAAAGACAAATTTAGGGGCAAATAGCAGTTCAGACTTGTTTTGGCCAATCCACTGAGGAAGTGACTACCAGGCACACTCCCATATGAAGAAATAGGGGTTCTAGTAAGCCTGGGTTGACATGAAGGTGTGCATTTCATGATACGGCTAAGAAGACAGATCCCCACGGATGTTCGCCAGGGGTCCCCCAAACCGAATTCGGCTTCGCCGGGTTTCGCTGAGCAGTTTCTGGGGACTTGCTCGCAGGAAGGCCTTTTGGACCTCGCGCGGAGAAACGAGATGATGGCTTGTGCCTCTGAGGAGAGTCAAGCGATGGGACGGTTAGCGACGGACGCCCACAGCCTCAAAAGGGCAATGTCTCAGTTGTTCAGTGGCACCAATTCTCTTTCCCTTTTTTTAAATAGTGGCTGCCTCACTAATAATGGTCTTCCCCAAAAGGGTTCCCTTATTTTTTCCGGGTTTACTTTGACTCTTTATATGCTCTCAGACTTCCGTCTCTTCAAGTTTGATCACATACAATTGAATATCCCCAACGAGGACCCCGTCCGTGTTCTAAGATGCCCAATGGAAGAAGGGGCTACCCCACAAAAGGGACCCGGTTCCCTTCGCTTGCATCACATGTGTAGCATCCGAGCGGTTTGGAGGGTCTTCCAATTTAAGTGTTCGATAGTCGTTGAAGGGAAGATGAAAGGTAGGTAACCATTTGCAGCCGCCTAGTTTGAGAACTGGGCTCAATTTGGTCGATCCAGTATTCAACTGTTCTCAAAGAGTTGCGAGGCCGGAGTTGAGAAGAAGAGTTCCTTGCAAGAGACCAAGAGAACCAGTGGCATGCTAGAGACGTCTGTTGCGGGCTGTGTGAGCAACGGACATTCTTTCCAGGGTATTTTGGACAGACCATTGTCGGTTTGCAGATCGTTCGTAGCTGTTTGTCGTAGATTTATTGTCGGGTGCTCATGTCATAGAAAGCGTGAGCTGTGTCTGAAGCAAGGTCATATTTAAACGATTCCATTTCAAGACCCAAGCACACACCCCGGAAAAAAATGAACAAACGAAGGGCGGATTTTGCCGGGACTGAAATCAAACACTATGGGAGTCTCAAGAGCAGTGCGTTCTGAACATCTCTCAGCGTACCGCAAAAGCTCCGTTTCGGATCTCGAGTTTGGAGGTTCCGGAAAACGGGCGGCACAGGACCAAAACGGGCCCAAAAAGCGGTCCCTAGTTGCGACGCGTAGGTCCCGTCTTGGTTTGGTCTCCCATCCCGGATCCCTTAAAGCGAACCTTGGGGCTCAAGGCTACTCTCGGCAGTGTCTCTTTGTAGAAACCAAGAGGGTTCTTCGGAGCCCGTCCAACATAGTCAAAATAGGGGACCGGGAGCGCAATATGGCCTCGATGTTCCTTTTCTCTCAACAAAAATGCACATGACCCACATGGACCGATGATTCGACCCATCAGGAGCACGACGCCTTGCTTTTGTCATTGCACTCTGCGCGGCAAGAGCACCGGGTGCAAGCGGCTCGCTCGATTCCAAAGCCGAGAGCGAGCAGGGCGGGGGGGGGGGGGGCAGAGGCCGGTGGAACCCAGTTTCCGAGGCATCCCCAATTGTGCAATGGACCTGAGGAACCTGGGACGTGGATATGAGCTGCGACAAATTTGCTCGAGGCTTCTTAGGGTCGATCCGAGTGGATATTTGAGCTGCGACAGATTTGTTCGAGGCTTCTTTCTCCAAGTGCACAACAAGCAGTTCTTCCTCGTGTTTGGTCGGTTTTGGTGTTTGCCTTTCCAGAAAACAAGGACTTGGGGGACGTGCGTCTTCTCAACTTTGTGACTCGCAAGCAACAAACAAGCACAAACCTGTTCAGGTGTTCAGGTCCGACTGCCCCACCCGCACTCTGTCAATCCGCCCCCCCAACATAGATGATCCCATAAAAAAAGGAGCAGAGATGGCACCACATATTGCACTGATGGCTTCAATTTTACCATTCGGATCGACCCCTCGTGGCTCCGAGGCTTGGCCGCGCCCCAAAGCCCGAAGGACTTATCTGCGTTCAATTGGCGTGTCCAACACAGCTCACCACGCTTTTTTGGGGGTCACCCTTCGGAGGACGTGCCTGTTACTGACATCATGGCAAGCAGACAAAAGTTTAAATCCCTTGAGGCTTGAACATTGAGCAAAGCTTTGGTTTGTGGGTTGCTGCCCTGCCCCTTAGGCTTGGGCAATATGCGTTGAAACAACCATCCCCCGGTCCTTGCGTGAACCAACAGGAAGCACTAGGCAGCTTTTTAGACGGTGAAGCCCTCCCTCCTCTCCTTTCCCCCCCTCCCTCCCTTGAGTTTTATTAGCCAGATGTGCCCAACTTTGGCCCGGTTAGGGGCTTACGTTGTCCGAGTAACATCACTACTCCATACCACCGCCTCCTCGGTTTTTTTTTTTTTTTTAAATAAAAACCCACTCCAATCCAATCCAATCCAATCGGGTTTTCGAGAAAGAGAAAAAAAGAAGAAGAAAGATAAACTCCAGTTTTTTCTTCGTAACATCGCTACCCAAATCCAATCCTCAGTGTTTGGACGAAATCCTGCACCACTTTGAAACCGTGTGGGAAACCAGTGTTTGTTGATAATTACAGGGGAATCATCATTCCAGTGATTCTTGGGTGGTGCAGGAATTTGTTTATCCATAGTACCACCGCCTCCTTGTTTTTTTTCAATAAAAACCCAACCCAGCCTTCCCTCCCACTGCCTCCTTGGGTTTTTATACATGTGTATATATTTTTGTTGTTTCAAAAATAAAAAATAAATAGAAGAAAAATCCAGTCCTTCCCTCCCTGCCCAGCTTCGCTCAGGTGGCGCAGCTCGGCACCTCCCAGTCCGCGCTGCTGGCGGCCCGCGCCACCGCCGCCGGCGAGAGGGCGGCGGTGCGGAACCAGACGCCTGGACCGAGACGCAGCCGCGCGGCGTCCGGCGTACGACCAACTGACCATGGGTACCCTCCCACCAACTAGTATGGAAGTGCAAAAAGGCCTTTCCAAGAGCAAGTTAGTCTTTCTACAGGGGTGTGCACTTCCATGTTAGCTGGTAGGGTAGCTTTTTCCATTTAGGGGAAAGAGAATCGTTTTTGTGGTTCTCCCACATGGTCGTCTTTTGATCAACCCCCATGTGCCCAAAAATCGGCGGAGGTTGAGATGTCTCAAGCTCAAAGTGTGAAAACACAAACCCCTTGCCTGGGTTCGAAGAATTTGTGAGTATGGCGCGTGACGCTTCGAGCAAATCGAAGGTTTGTGGGGGGCCAACAAAAAACATGGTTTTGGGTTGTTTTTGCTTTTTCCCTTGTTTTTCGAATGTTGTGTTTTCTCAGTTTACAGTCACCCTTTTGTGTGATTCCTTGAAGAGAGGCCTGCTTTGGGCTGATCTTACGCGGCACTTACTGCGCTTGCCAGGGGATGCTTTCTTGTGCCTTCCAGACTTATCTCAGTTTACAACTGACTGAGCTGTTGACTTCTGTTTTCGTCAAGTGGTGCGCAAACAAGTCTGGTTGGGAACACGTTGATTTCACTCAGGGCAACTTGGGCAACTTCGATGCTGGCAATTATTCCTGCTCAGTTTTGTGGAGTTTCCATTGCCCAGATGATACTGTGGATGGACGAATTCCTGCGGTTGGTAGGTAGTGTTTCTCTCGTTTTGTGTTGTCATATCAGGTTTAATCCATTCGTAACTGGCGAAATGGATTTTGTCCATCCACGGAAATGAAGTATGTCTCGCGCTCGGCTTACGTCCAGTCTCTTGGGGCAAGGTACCAGATTTGGGCGCCATGCCACCATCTCTAAGCTTCACGATTCCTCCGAGCCTTCAAAAGATGACAAACCCGAGGCCAGAACATGGCTGTGGCTTCCTGTTGTTTTCCTTACCTGTACCGCAAAAGCATGTCTAGCCTTGTGCCGATCGGGTCCTTGGAAGTGGTACAATAGTGATAGCGGATCAACACGCGAGTGCCGGAAAGCTACATACTGATGGACGAAATCCTGCACCATCCAAGAAACCCTAGAATGATTCCATTCCCCAACGTAAATACCAACTAACAATGGTGGTGCGAATCGGATTTCGCAACCATCCACAGTAGCACCAAGATTTGGCAACACTTTTGCCGGTCTTCCGTGGTTCATTCGGGGATAAAATTCGAGCGGAGCCCCCAATCCGCCAGGTGTTTGACAAGGAAGGAAGCACCAGGGCCGTCTATTTCCCCTAAAAAGACACCTATGCGCACGTCCCTTTTGTTTTTTTAGTCTTTCCGAGTGTGGGGCTGGAGAGCACCATTGGGTTTCCTAAGGACGGAGGAACGGCGACTACTGGAAGCCGAGCATGAGCAGTTTGAGGCGGCACAGATTGGGTGCCAAACATACCGTTACTGTCCTTTTTGTCTCTTCATTCCGTTTTGTTTGGCTTTGCTCTGCTCTACTCTGTTCCACTCTGCTCTGCTTGCTTGCGTGCTTGCGTTTGCTTGCGTTTGCTTGCATCTGAGCTGTTTTGGTCGGCATTTTTTCTGATTCGCTTGCCTTCTTGTGCCCGAACTGCACACTCGTCCATTGTGGTCGCCGATCACTGTGCTGCAGGTCGAGCTGCACCAGGAGACGGACGAAATGAGGCTGTGTCGCAACTGGCCGGCAGTTCAGAACCTTTAAGCAAACCGACGGTTCACAACACGAGACAACTTGCAAAACCCCAAGCTGCACGGGAAACTCTGCACCTCTGGCTGGGCAAATTCAAATCTATTGGTCGTGGGCGTTGGGAAACAAATCTACATTTAGACTAAGACACTTTGCCGGTGATATGTTTGCGCACGCACTCGATCATCTTTTTCAACCGGCACCCCTAAAAGGGGCAGAGCCCTTGGCGCTCGGAAAGTTCCGAGCTGCTGCCCTACCCAGGTGCTCGTATCACAAGTTCCTTTCCTCATTGCGTTGGCGTCCTTTGGTTTATTTTGGCGGGACCCAATTGTCCATTTGCTTAATAATATCGGTACCCCGCAACCAACGAACCCACCCACCCCCCCCACCCAAACCCACCCTCAACCCACCCTCAACCCAAACCCGCCCTCAACCCGCCCTCAACCCACCCAACCGGAAACCCGACCTCCCGAGGCTCGGGCCTTGAGGCGCTTCAGCGGTCCGAGAGCGCCTGGTCCCAGGAGGCGAGCACCGAGGCCTGGCTGGCCGAATCCGTGGCCATGGCGCGGCAGCGCAGCGACCGAGCCTTGGACTCGGGGCAATTTGCTTTTGGCCTGGGACACGGAAGGGGGTGGGGGCAAATTGGGGGGTCGTTTTTGTGAGGTTTGAAAAGAAGACCAAAGCAAGTGTTATTCATCAAGGATCACTTTGGCCTGGAAAAGGTAGTGATTGAAACCACCAATTTGCGGGGGGGTCTTTTTGTGAGGGTGCCCCTTTTTTGGTGCTTTTGAAGACTGCTCAAAAGGAAGACCCACCATTTTGGGGGGTGCCCTGCAACAAGACCATGCCAAAACCTTTGGGAAGGTGAAAGGAGAACCATTTAACGGGTTGCCTATCTAACATATTTGGTCAGGGCTCCTTAAAAGATACATTTTGCCCATTTGAAACATGGTTTTTTCCACCAAAATAAAGGGAAACCACCCATTTACAAGGCAATGTTCAGGTGTATAATGTAAGGATCCCTGTTGGAACAATCCAAGGGTGATTGATTGAAATGCAGTCAGCGTGTGAAAGGAGAAGGCTCCCAAACGGCCAGTCTTTTGTTTCCAAATCCGCTTTCTGGGGAGGACTAACTCTTTTTCATATCGCCCTGCATCACATGGCCATGGGTCAAAATACAAATCGTACCCCCAGTGAACATCCCAATCCCCACTAAAATAGACAAACAATGACCTACCCCAAAATGGCACCATTGGTGTTGACCCACAGCCATATTAGTCCTCCAAAAACAGATTCTGACAAACTGCAAACTAAGAGAAGGAACCTAAAGAAACCCTTCCTTTGGAGTTCCTTGCAAAACAGTTGGGAAGATCCATGATTGTCAGGATACATTGCCAGATATGTCAACAAGACCACCACCCCCCCCCCCCCCGATGAGACTGGTTTGCCAGGGTCCCAAAGTTTTGTGATGCTCCATGTTTCCAGGAAGAGCCTGCTGCATGTCAGGCCTCAATTTCAATCCCTGTTCAAGATAGATGCAATCAGCTTGCTGCGGATCATGGCGAACTGGAACTGGCAGCTAGGCAGCCAACCTAAACTCAGATCAATGATCAGGTCTGAAAGTGTTTGAGCCCGTAGGGTTTTGCAGTTAACACAGGCTTGTCTTGCCCAGGCACACTCAAGTCCTGTGGATGATGCTGCGTTTGACCACCACCGGCCGGGGCGGGGGGGGGGGGGGGGAAGGTGACCCTCTGAAATTCCAGCTGTTCCGTGGGGAACTTCGAGGAGAACCCAAGTCACCAAGGTAGGATTTCTCATCTGAATCGCCGGTGAGACTTCGACTCAGGACGGCTGGCAGAGCTGAATCGGGAGATCAGCACCTCGGATACGTCTGGAGAGCTCGAAGTGGCTATCTGCCAGACCCTCTTTGGTTCATGCGGTCCTTATCACATGCAACTCCACCTCAGAAAGAAGTAATAACAACAACGCATCATCCCCCGCCTACCTGTTGTTTTTTGTCTCTTTGTTTTTGTTTGTTTCTTTCTTTGTCTCTTTGATTTTGTTTGTTTCTTTGTTTTCGATGGCTGGCCCCCTTTTCAGCTTGGTTTGAACATCCGACACGAGCACGGGGGGCCCCCACATCCACTCCGCTCGTTAGGCCAGGCGGGTGCGCAGAGCCGGCGCCTGGCGGCGGCGGAGTGCCAGACCGCCGCCCTGGAGGCGACCGACGAAGTTGATCCCCCGGAGAAAATCGGGCTGTTGGGCGAAAAGTGGGCCCAAACAAGCAACCTGGATGGGGGATTGAACACTTTTAAGATACTAAGAGAAAACCAAAAGGGGCACCACCCGTTCTCCATGTCGGTACCCTCCAACATAACCCCCAGGAAACGGCCCCAAGAAAAAAAGGGAAGCTTTCAGATGCCTTCCCACAGTGCCTCCTGTTGGTGGAATTGAATGCCCCATGCGCCGCTTTTCCTTGGCAAGAAGTTGTTCCTTCCCGCGTCTGGTTGGCAGTTCTTTTTAGGGGACCCCCGAAAATGGTGGTTTTCCTGTTGGTTTCCCTTTGAGGGATAGCCTCAAAAAATGCACACCCAAATCTATCAATGCAAACACGTTGCGATGGCTGAGCACTTCCGCTTTTATCAAGGGAGACTGCCCGTTCCGCCTGTTCGAATTGCACAATACTTGCCAGGCAATGCTGAATCAACATATTCATCCCTGATTGCGGCAGGGAATGGACAGATATGCATCGAACCACATAGTCGGGCCAATTCTTGCTACTCTTCACATTGTGCATGGGGGGTTGATGCCATTGTGAAACGCCAAATCTGGGCTGTCCTTACATCCCCTGCTAAAAGTGCTTAGCCTTTGGTGGGTTAAACTCGGGAAAAACAAAACGCGAACCCAACTAAAAACCGATAAAAACCTAAGCACTCGGGGGGGGGGGGGGGAAAACGCTAACCCAACTAAAAACCAGAAAATTACACCAGATAGACCCCAGATAGAAATGATTGCACACCAGCACCTCCAACAGCACCCCCCGAATAGCGTCCCAAACAGCACCCGGCCGTCAATCGCGCACCCGCGCCATCACGGTGTAAATGGGCCCCCAAATGGGTGGTTGGGCCATTTTCCCCCAACAGCGGGAGGTGTCCAGAAGGAGATATTCCTGTTTCTTGGCTGCGGCAGAAATCGCGGGGAAGGAGAAATGGACTGGCTGGATCTCTGGATCCCATGACTTCTAGTTTCCTTTAAGGGCTGGGTTGATGAGAAATGGAATTTATCCATCGCTTGTGGTTTCCTTTAAGGCTTTGAGGGGACCCCTGGGTTCATTCCCTGAGCACCAGCAAGCTATGAAGCTGACGTCTTTGGTTTCACTTCAGGATCAACTCACTTCCTGAGTTCCGGTTCGGACTTTACACTTTAGGGGTGGGGTTGCTATTTGAGTGACAAATTTTGAAGTATGGGACTTGTTCTGAGCAATCCACTCAGGAAGTGAGTTGGGGTCTATTTTTGCAACCTCCTTCTTTTAGGATTTGGTCTTTTTGTGAGTTGCAAAATGGACTCTACGTGTCCATGGCACGGACAGGAGATAAAACGGGAGAAAGAGCGGTCCAGTGTCCTCAACTGCCTTTGACCACCAAAAGGGGAGCGCTAAGCGTCCGCAAATTTCCCAGACCCCAGCACTCCCTGCAGGCAGCTTCCTTGCGGCAGCTGCGCCTGGAAGCGAACGAACTGGAATGCGCCCCGCGGCGGCGTGAGCCGGTTGGCTCCCAGCCATCCGGTTCGTTAGCTGTTTCGCAACTTTTAGGGTTGAGTGGTAGTTTCCGAATTTAAACCACTAAAAGCTAGCTAAACTTTTGGCGGGGGATCTGAGGGTCCAGGGAGTGGTTGGCTCTGATGTCTTTTAGCGAGGAACCACCACAAAAGAGGTCCAAGGCACAGGGTCGCCCGTTAAAAGTTACCACCCGCCTGGCAAAGGGGGAACCGTTTTGCTCAGAAGTTTGAGAGGACACCTAGCGTTCCAACGGGTGACCCGTACTCTTCACCCATTTCTTGAGAAGCCGCCATGCCTGGAAAGAAGGGGGGGAAGTGCTATGACTAGGACATGGGGATGACCCTGACCAATCTGCGAGTTGAGAGACAAAGTGAACAAGTCATTCTTGTAGGGATGTCTCAAAAAACCTGTCTGGATGGTCTTCAAGCATCGGGGATCCAAGGCCTGATATACCGTTTGGAGTGGTTGATCGAACTTTCCCACGTCCCTTTCAACCATGTGAACTTTTTCCAGGGGATCCTAAGCTTGGCCCAGTTTGAAGTGGCTGGGATTTGCTTTCTTGGAAGCCGGAAGCCCTGGGCAGGCTGGACACATTGCCATGGTTGCTCGTGATCCATTGGATGAGTTGCCCTGCGGTGGTTTGGGTTGTTTGATCATGTGTCCAGATTCCTCTTAGACGGGAAATGGCTGACCAGGTCGACCGCCGGCAAGTCAGACAACTTCGAGTGTTGGGTGCATTCTGCCACACATTTGCCAAGCAGCAAGTTTGCCTTTCAGGCAGTTCTGGAGTACATCTCTCATTTGGTGCAACTTGGATGTTAGGACTTGAACTTTTGGCCATCTAATGGGTTTTCCATTAAACCACTAAAAGTTATTCACTTTTCGCAGGGGAGCAGAAAGCACCAGAGTCTCGTTTCAGGGTTTTGGATCGACCTCAAGAACCGAATGCTGACAATTGGCCCATGCTCGCCCAGGAAGCCGACGCCGCGCAGGCGGCCGCGGCATTGCACGTGTGAGCAAACATATTTGGCTGTGGGTCCAAATCAATGGTACCATTTTGGGGTAGGTGAAATCAACCAATTAAGAACCTATTTTAGTGGGGATTGGGATGTTCACTGGGGGTACGGGATTTTGACCCATGGCCATTTAACTACATGATGTGTATGTGAATTTCGATGTGTGCGTGTATATGTGGCATATGGTTGTATCATGGCATAGTACCGGGGCGCAGGCGACAAAGCAGAACCTGCGACGACGGGGGCAGAGTCCGAAGCTTGGACACTGGGTGGGGCACATCCCATGTGCCACCAGCAAACCTGCTTACTTCCATTTTCACTAAGAATATGTGGCGTTTCCCCTTTCTAGTTTTCAAGGGAATCTATCAGTGCTGGATTCTTGTTTGCAGGGGGCTTAACCAAATGGAAGCTTACAGAAGGAGTCAACGTACGTCATTGAGCCCGACTGGTCCCCCAGTAGGCCCTTTTACCCTTTTTTGGGGGCAGGGTTCCCCTAAAGCAGACTACAGAAAAGAGTTGGTACCCTGATTCTAACCTCTCTACTGGAGGACCTACTCCAAGGTTGGGGGATGAAATCCCCCCCGTGATCGTTCCAGTTCTTCACACAAGCCGCAGGAGTACCTTTGCAGCTGGGGTTGGCTTTGGGTCATTTCTAGCGCATGAGGGCGCCATATGGCCATGGGGAATAGCCTATGGCTCCAATTTGGGGTGGAGGAACATCCATTTGCCCACCTATTTTGATGTTCACCAGGGGTACAGGGTGTTTGACTCTCGGCCATATCCAGCCAAATGTCAAGCGACCATCATAGTTCTCATTGGAGTTGATGAACTCCGAAGTACGTTTCATTCAAGAGTCTTTGTTAGCTGCCTCAGTTCATTGACAGGATTTCCAGGTTCAGCTACGGTGTCTTGCTTTTTCCCTGTTCTTTCGATGTTCCCGTGTTACAGTTGGTGTTGATGTGTGTGTGTGTGTGTGATTGTATATGCGTTTGTGTTCCCCGCAACCACGGGCGGGGAAGTGCAGAGTGATCATTTGAAAATGTTCTGGTTTGACAACGAATGCGCAACTTGGTCTTTCACTACATTCTGTTTTTTCGGCAGTGTTCCTAGCACTCGACCTATACAGCTCAAACTTAGCTGGAGGTTGTTTTCGTAAAACACCCACTGGCTTCGACTTGCTTGGACACATAGGTGCCCGGGGTTGAAGGGAGTTGAACGGGCGTATGTCTCGACGGGAAGTGCATCAATCCGTTTCCACAAGGGTCCATGTTGACGCAGCCTTTCTCGAGTGACTTTTTTTTCAGGGGCAGGTCTTTGATGTCCATCTCGGGCAGGTGTTGGTGATTCAAAAGTAGCTTTGCCAATGTTGGGTACCCAAAAGGTGAACGACAACTGGCAGGGGTGAG